ATACCCATGAATGATAATAGGGTAAAAAAAATTATTTCAATCAAATTGGATTAAAAGAAAAAAGAGTCAATATTTTGATCCAATTAATGAAATGTTCCAAATTTTATTTAGTTAACAAAAAAAGATCTTGATTACCGGATAAAAAAAATTGAAATCAACCATTTTTACCTGGTTACCTTAAAAAAAAATCTCATTATTTTGGCTCGGTTTATAAAAATGTCCTTTTTTTTACTTCAACTTTTTTACTCTTTAATTAAAAATCTAGAAATTTTTCGGTTCGAATAGAAATAAACGCCATTAAGCTCAATAAAACTAAGGATCAAAGTCCTCTATAACCGATACTTTGCCACAAAACAATGATGTTATCATCATTTTGAACTCAACATCGTCAATATAATCCATTTCCCACACAAATTTATGTTACAAGTATTATAAGATATTCCAATTGTGTGTTAAACACCGTATAACAATAAATGAAAACCAACTGTTATGTTCATATAAAAAATCATTAACTGATGACAATTTAGTCAATACTATAGTATGTTAGGTGAGGTTATTAGGATTTTAATGAAGAGCATGATTTTTATCCTTAAATCTTAAGCATATATGAACAATTCTTTCATGGATCAATTACTTCATATGTCAATAAATTTAAATTCCGGAGCTCCAAAATACCAAGACCGTAAAACAACGATGTTTGATATTCTTTGGATTTAGTTTTATGATCACTTTTGGTTTTACACACGAACGTTTAAAATGAAGGTATATTTTAGATGGCATACCAATATATAACCTTGTGGTTTTATACTATGTCAAGTGATGCAATTATGGACTTGCTCCCGACCTAGTTTACGAAAGCGTCACTTGGCATAGTATAAAATTACAGTGTTATATATTGGTGTGCCATCTAGGTCGAGCGCAAGTCCATCATTGCATCAGTATAAAATCACATTTTTATATATAGGTATGTCATCTAAAACATAGCTTTATTTTAAACATTCATGTGTCAAATCAAAAGTGATCATAGAAGTATATCTAGAGAAGAGAAAACATTGTGTTTCTTATGGTCTTGGTGTTTTTGGAGCTCCGAAATTCAAATTTATTGATATGTGAAATACAGTGACGAGTCCAGAACAACAACCTACGTGGGTCACTATTTAAGTGAACCCGATAAAAATGACATAGCTAAAAAATACTAGTAATAGGTCGATTCATATAAGCAATTTTTTTAAAGATATTACAATTGTACCTAAAGAGGTCTAATATCTTGATATATGTCCACAATTGTATCATTACTAATACTATCTAAAACACTTTTTTCAATATATGTCACTAAACTATCCACTAAGTTGGGAAACAAAAACAATCAAATAAAACTATATTGATTTCACGATTGATTGAATCGAAGGCAATCCATATTAAAACATACTACATGAAGTGATGAAACCTACCACACAAAACCTATTATGCAAAAGTCAAAAATAGATGTTCTTATCATTGGCGCCAAGATTAGAGATTACATATTAAATTGATTATGTCTTGAACTTTTGATTTCATTATATTTATTCGTAACTAGGAAGAAGATTGGAAGAAGTGTAAAATTGTAGAAGGCAATCATTATCAATCAAGAGTTCACAATTGAGAACCTTCAAAGTTAAAACTCGATGTGAAGAAGAAAGCAATGTGGATTGTGGGACGAGACTAATGTGAATGTGAGGTTGTTGGCGGTCGGAGGGAGGCGAACAGACGGCATGGTCGAGTGATCGATAGGAGTGACTTCGGTCTTCGGTCGTTCCTTACGATTTGTGTGATTGCATCATGCGTATTTGCTAGAAACGAACGGGCAATTCACATTCAGATTGTATTTTTTTTCTTTATTTAATTTTAAAAGGTATTGCGTTAATTTTTTATGGACAATATTTGAAATAAAATAAATTAGACCACTGAAATACAAAAGATTGGCTAAAAGTCCATGACAATAAATTAAGGTGGGACATCTACAAATTTTAAGGTAGGTCATAATTTTTTTTATTAATTACTTTTAACACAATTTTTTTGTTTAGGTGGGTCAAGTGACCCACCTTCACTTGCAATAACCTCACCACTGGTGAAATAATTGATCCATGGAGAAACTATTCATATATGTTAAGATTTAAGGATGAAACTCATAATTTTCTCTAGAATTGATACAACATCGTCCTAACATACTATTGTATTGATTAGTTTGTCATCAGTCAATGGTTTCTTATATGAGCATAATAGTTGATTTTCCTTTAACCTATTTTTAGTTAGATGTAATAAGGAGTTCAACACATAATTTGAATATCTTATAATACTTGTAACATAAATTTGAGTGAGAAATGGATTATATGGACGATGATGATTTCAAAATGATGCTAACGTCATTGTTTTGTGACAAATAATTGGTTATAGAGGGCTTTGTTTCTTAATTTTATGGAGTTTACTGACGTTTATTCCTATTCATAATTTGAACTAAGAAATTTCTAATTTTTTAGTGAAAGAGTAAAATAGTTGAAGTAAAAAAGAAATGATACTTTTTCATACACTAGGCAAAAATAACGGGACTTTTCGGAGATAATCAGGTAAAAAATAGCTTGTTTGAATTTTTTATCCGGTAATCAAGACTTTTTTGTTAACAAAATAAAATTTGAGACTTTTCATAAACTTGAACAAAATATCGGGACTTTTTTGGAGATTTCTTTAAGACACTTCTCTTTTTTTAATTGTAGTTTGATCTGTTTGAAGCTTTTAGTAGACCTATATTCCATCACACGGACATAAGTAAATCAAGTTTTCTCGATTTCCTTTGCATAGTAAATTCCGTAGACGTCAGTCGTCTTTATGATTTGTATTCTTTCCTCTCACCATTGAATCTTTGTTTGCACACAACTTTTTGTATATTTATTTTTTGGTTTTTAAAAAAGGATATGATAACATCTTCAACATAAATATGCATCATTGTGAGATGCTCACTATATTTCCTGGAAGAAGGTACATTAACAATCATGTAAATTATTTTGATTCCATCGACATTGATGACTTTTCAATGTGTGACCTTCAAACCATGATGAAAGTACCCGTATTTACTTTCACTTCTTGATTCCCCATGGATATTTGGACTTTGGCCTTTTAGCCCTTGGAAATATCGACGTAATTACACATTATATGATTGAATACCTTTTTCTAAGTGTGTTATTGATTAGAGGTTCCTGAAGCATGTCACAACTCCAAAGCTATTACTCTCTACAATTATTTTAGTCGGGAAGGCAGTAGTACTTATGGTATTGAGTTTGATAATTTTGTTGATGACTGTATGATGAACGGAATGAATACGTACGGAAAGTTGAGGAAGTGTGAATATTGCTTTTATTTGAACCTACTGTTGGTGCTCATTTCAATATTGTACTTTATTAATGGGATATTGATTAAACCACGATAAAGGAGGTAAGTACCGAATTGACCATATTTACCTCATTTTTTAAAAATAATCAATTTGTCCGGAATAAGACATTCAAGAATAATAATGTATGTTCTAGACTTTGTGAGATTTAACGTAAAGATAGTCTGGAATCTAACATGTCAGAAATTAGATTTATTTCAGATTGTTTCGGACTTTTGAGACATAACATAAAGTGCGTGAGTTGACATAAAATTATTCTGGAACAACACATTCATGATTTATTTCATATTGATTTTATTTTAACTAGGAGAAGCCCATGCCCCGCATGTAATGAATGAGGTTTTGACATTAATTGAGTTTTGAATTGACAAAATGAATAAAACAGCAAAAAATGTGACTCAATCAACAGAGTTGGAAAATTGGTGGCCCAAGTCTAAAAGAAAAAAACACAGGGGCAGTTTTGGAAAAAGCTACAAAAGTGTGTATAAGCTCAAACCCTAACGACCCCATGATTCATGTAGTGTATAATGGTCTTATATCATAATTTACTTTGTTATTGGTAAGTTTTTGAGTTTTGTCTATATAAGCTCGAACCAAAACATCCCAAACGCCGTTTTGGAAGATTTTGTCGTATTTCAAACTGATTCATCGTATTCTGGACCAAATGCGTGTTTTGTATTTATTGCATGTGCCAATAAGACATTTTTTAGTATCAGACACAAAATTAACATAATGTTGTAGTTTTTTTTTTGTGTTAAAATAGGATATAAATACTTAAAGGAGTCTAAAAAACATCACTAATTAACCGGAAGAAAGCTAAAGAAGTTACCATATCAAAGGTAGTTTTTTTATTCGTTGTATATTATGAAGGCACCAAGTGCACCAAGGAAGAAAAATACGTAAGCCTCTTTGGGGTCTCTTACAAAATACAATTCTTTCTATCTTTAGACTTATTTCTGGTGTCTAACACGTTTACCAAAGTTGCATATTAAGTAGTCCATACATCTACAAAAAAAACATATCGTACCCACTATTTTGACAACAAATAATCAAATACATGTATACCAAATGCGCCAGGTATTGCATTTAGTTATTACGTTTTAGCTTTAAGGAATGTTTAGGTTATATTATATTTGGTTTTGGTTAGACTATCCTCATTAACAATCCAACTCAACCAATGTGTCATTTTGGTTAACAACCTTGTTCATAGTGGTTAGTTCAATAATATCCATTATTAATGCCTTTTAATATATAAATTAAGTTGACAATGGTTATGCAACTGAAAATAACAATGCATGGTTGATGTTTTGGTTAATGAAATGCTATTTACAATGATTATGGTTAATGTATTTGCTTAGTTAACCTCACATTATCACAAACCTACAATTTACATCTCAAAAAAAATATTTATTCATACCACTTTACAGTCTCCACTAATAATTCCCATAGCAAACAAAACAAAATCCTCAAATAAATAAAATAGCTACCAAAACCCCAAACTTCAAAAACGGATCGGGTCAGGCCCATCAAGATGGCCCACGTGGCAAAATTTTCATGTACAATAATTCAACTCTCCTATCTAAAGCCCAACCCATCTAACCCATCTAAAAATCTTCCCAACTCTAAATGGAAGCCCGTAGTCTTTAACAACAGCGGGCTCACGTACAGCCTCTAGTGGGGCCCACTCGTATACCCCTCGTTCTTGCTTACTTCCAGGGACAGTATTGTCCAAAACCATTGCTACTAGGAACGCTATCACCATGTGAAGTGACAACAATGCGCTCATCACATAATTTAGCTGTAAATAATTTCACATGAAGATTTATAAGAAAACTAATTTAGAAATATCAAGAATTGTGTAATGTAAATAATAAATATGGTTTTACTTACTTACCCCTTTGTAGTGGGTGTGAAATGGGGCATGAGAGGCGACAATGTAAGGCTGAAAGGGTGAGTTGGAATTGTATTGGTGAAAATAGGCAGGGGTAGAAAGGGAAAAAAATAAAGAAAGTCCGATGATTATGATGTTCCGGGAGCTTCCGGACTCACTGTAACGTAAATTGGATAACCCCAATGCTGTAAGCATGGCCCACATTATGCATAGCAAGCCGGCAACCATAACTTGTGGAATTGACGCTATTAACCCTCCTACTTTACCTGACACAAAAGATTCGCTATATAAATGATAGTGAATTGCATTTTTGGTCTCTTGGTAATTGGTATAGCATTTTTTTTTTTTTAATCAATTTTGGTCCCAAAATGTTTTCTTTTGCAATTTTGGTCATTATTTGAGGTTTTTGTCACAAATTTGGTCTATATTCCATGTAAAATGACTATATTTTGGAACAAAAATTAACATTTTACTTGAATAGGGACCAAAAAACATTACAAAAACCTCAAATAAGGACCAAAATTGCAAGAGAAAACTTCTTGGGATCAAAAATGTAATTTACTTACCCACGAGGGATAATATGATCAAAACACACGCCCCTAACTCAACTGTTCTTCTGCTACCCATTTTTGTAACAGTAATTGTATGCACATTTTCGGTCAAAGTAGTTGACCCTGTTCCTGTCCCCCATAAACCAGCCAAAATGCCCGAAATACCCTCAACACAAATCCCACGGCTCACAACACCCGGTGTAGGTGGCTTAGATGCCACCAACAATGACGATGCATGATACGATCCAACCTATTCAAAAAAATTTTGACAAAATTACCAAAATACCCTTGTGAGTAAAACAAAATCAAAACAAGGGGATTAATGATTAGGCTTACTGAATCCACTGAAGAAATAATGGACACCACAGACATAACAATTGCCAGTTTCCAGTTGAAAACAGGGGTACCAAATTGTAAAGGGTAAGGGAATCTAAACCATGGTGAAGATTTTAATGCGTTTGACGTATTTGCCCCTGCCCGACAATTTTTCATCCTGGAAATATGTTTTTTGCAGTGATCAGATATTATATTGACATCACAATCTTTATATTTGTATGCCCCTGTTTCTGTCAGAATGTATGTGATTCCCCATGTTATAGCCATTCCCAATGGTACCTTTTAAACAAAAAAATTATTAATTTTTTTTTTTGATGATTTCAAGATGTGAAATTTAAAGAAAATGAAGAAAAGTTGTTTGCTTACAGCGTATATTAGGAATACACGGTGCCCGAATAAAGAAACCTTACGAAGGTACTGAAAGAGAAGGAAGAAGGAATATTTATTAACTTTGTGTAATTTTGAAAATGAAATATGAAAAATAAATAAATAAATAAACTTACGAGAAAAAATATAATAACGATTAAAATCTGTAAAATGCCAATTTCGAGACATTCACCAAGGTGTGGGAAACCATAAGTGTAGAAAGAAAGTCCAACAGCTGCAATAGTTGGGGAAACAACCACTGGATTGATCAATCCGAAAAGGGTTGAGGTTAAAATTGTCTTTTTATTAATTTTATGAAAAAGTTTATGGAAAAGGTGAAGATGAAGATGAAGTGAAGTGGTTGACCTCAAGAGTAGAGTCATGAGGCCAGTGTATCCAAGTAATGCTTGAAAAGCTGATGCAATAATAATGGCTCCTTGTAGCTCCTTCATTATATGCTTGAAACTCTAGTACAAAAAATTATTAACAAATCTTTAGAATTTTAAAAAATAACTTTTATTGATGAACAATGCATGGAAAAAGTAAAAACACTCGATAAACTAGTTACTAAGGTCCAAAACAAGTTCCCTCCTATAGAAATATTGACTTTAACAATATGTGCTTTGTGTCCTAATGATCAGTGAATTTAATATTAGTTACTATAACAATATGTGCTTTGTGCTAACTAGTGTGATAAAGAAAGCATGAAATCTTCATGAAACAAAATGGAGGTGGAAGAATTGAGATAGAGCTTACATTTTCATTGAGACCCAAGAACTGAGGGGATTTTATGATTGCAAGTGCAGGAGCAAGAAAGACAAAAGATGGACCTTGTATAAGGGGCAATCTTGATCCAAAGTTAGCTTGTAAAAGTGTCGTGATTCCTGACACAAATAGCACAGTCGAAACCACCATTGACATATCCTCCTACACACACTAATGTCCATCAGACTAATTATAGAAAACTTCAGATGAGAATTTAACATGAAATCAATTGCAATTTGCAAGTGCTTACATGGTCGCCACCCATGGCTGGAACAATCACAAGCGGAACAAGAACTAGTGAACCCAACATTGAAAGATAGTGTTGGATTCCATAGATCCCAATTGGAACTGAAAACAATCCACAGAAATATGTGTTCATGGAATCGGGATTTGAATTGAAAACCACAGCATTATGAACGAAAATGGCTACAATTAGGAATGTAGAGATATTTACCAAGACCAGGAGTGTCTCTAAGCTCATACTTCATATGTGAACGACGAGAATCATCAAAAACCTGTGGCAATGTACTTTCGATGTCCCCATTCCTCGCTGCCCTCCGACTCGGCTGAGGAGGCGTCGACGTTGGCGTCTCAGCCGCAGCAGCAATTCTAGCGTGTCCATTAGCACCTCGCTTCGGCGGTAATGGTGCAGAACCACCCTGCGCCTCTCTCCTTTTCGCTGCCGACTGATCATTATCCGATTGCGGCTGCGCCTGTGTATTAGCCGGCTGTGGCGCTGGCGCCGTGGCGTTCACGGTCGGAATTGGGCGTACACGACTAGTTTCAAGATCAAGCGAAGCAGGAGGAGAGGGATTATTGGGCCTGGTAGACTGACCAGAGTCGCTTGCATTGCTCTCGCCGGAAAACCTAGGGCGGAAGCCGGTGTGTTTGGCCCAAGAAGAAGGATGCATTGCAGGTGAGGAGTCAGCATCAGAACCTATAGCTGGTGATTTGGGGTCGGAGTTCTGTGCCATGTTCTGCTTCCGTCTTTAATGCATGTATCAGGGATTAGGGTGTTAAGAAAAGGAGAAAGGATCTACGGTGTAGGAATGGAGTGCCATTAATGAACAGTATGAGATATTGCTGCCATGGTTGTTGTCGTTGTTGAAGTTGAAGATCACATAGCTCTAGAGAGAGAAAGTGAGACGTGTGATGTGTGTGAGCAAAAGTGAATGAAGTAGTGTGTGTTTTTGTGGTGAAGGGGGAGAGAGACATACAGTTAATGGAGTGTTGTGTAGTAACTAGTAAGGAGGAAAGGAAAAAAACGGCGTTTGGTGACTTGGTCTCGCTTTTTTTGGTATAATGTACCATTAGTACCTATAAATTCCTTTAATGATATTTTAGTCCCTTTATTTTGATACCTTATAATTAGTGCCTAGTTTTTCATTTAATGGTTTAATTGACACAAAACTTATTCAAAACATATATCAGAACATTTCTTTCGAACTTCATATATACAACAAGTCTTAATAATGTAAGTTAAAAGAATGTGCATTAGTACATTTTAAACACCTCTCTTTTACCTTTTTACCATTTACTAAAAACATTTCTTTATTTTTCTCCGTGGGTACCACACAACATTTATTCCACTCCATTATACATCTTCTTAGACCTTTATATTTCATCGCTTCATCTTCTTGAATCTTTATCATATCATTGTTTTGTCGTTCAAGTTTTATGTATGATATGTCTCATGCGAGTATTGTTCTTTGTTATCGCCACGGTTCTTTTTAGATGCATTTTTTTTTATGGTATTTTTTTCGGTTCTCAACCTCATTATTGCATCATTTAAAGGTTTATAGTTGTGATTTAGACTTTGTTATTGTCATGGTTCTTTGTTGATGCATCTTCTTTGATAGTACTTCTTTTCGATTCTCAACCCCATCATTACACCATCTAAAGGTTTATAGTTATGGTTTAGAGATGAAAACTTGGTAGAGAGTTATGGTTGCAGGGTTAGATTTGGCAGTGTGTTGGACTAGTTTTGAGTTTATATAAACAATTTGTTAAGAAATCGGATGTCACTTGTTAAGAATCAGAACAGATTTGATGCCACTTGTCAAGCTCTAATACCACTTGTTAGAAAGTAAAGCGGGTAATGCACAAAACCACACACACAAAGACACGATATTTATGTGGTTCGGTCAAGGTGGCTTATGTCTACAGGCAGGAGGAGAGTATTCTTATTCACGAGTTTTCAAATAGAGATTACAAGTATAATTTCAAAGATTTTCGCCTACTCACTAGAATTCAAGACCTTATACAAATGACTAGCAGCATCCTTATTTATAGACTATGGATAATACCTAAAACCCTAATGTGTTAAGACCATCAATCCATAGACCCATAAAAGTTTTCAACCGATCATAAATATACATGCAACTGCTTCTAAACCTTCATCCTTGAGAGAAATTGCATGAACATCAGCTACACATGTGATGGAGCATCATGAGCCATCATGGCACATCCTCCATCATGGAGTCATATCATGTTATTTGGGGCATACAGTATGAGCATCTTCAACTTCCGAGCATCCTTGGACTCCCGTGAGCATTTTAACGTACCTTGTAACTTGATTGTAGCATCCGGGATTTTCCAGGTATTATTAAACATTTTAAATTGAAGAATGGAATGGTTTGTTTTGGGCTTTGATCTTTGGCCCTTATTAGTGGACTGAGGAAGTGACGTACGCGGGGCGTATACAGCCATATACGCCCAGCGTACTCGTGAGAATGAACCGCGGAGGCCAGGTGCGTACGCCCAGCGTACCAGGAGTATGCCCAGCGTACGCATGCAGCTCATTAAACCCTAAAATTTAGGGTTTACTCCCTATATAAAGAACATAACTCCTGTTTGTTCAGCCTCCCCTCACTCTTACCCAACCACCACGAAAACCCTAGCTCCCTTTGTGTGCCTTTGTGTTCTACAAGCCATTTGAGAGTGCTTTTGGTGTTGTTTTAGTGAGAAAGGAAGAAAGGATCTTGAAGAAGAAGCAAGGATCCACCAAGAGCTTGTAGATCCAGAGGTTTGACACCATTTCTGACTCCTTTGAGGTATCAAGCTCCATACTTGACCATTATATGCTTAGATTTATTTATTTGGGGGTTTTTATGTCCTTTTTTACCCCATTGTTGGGAGTGTTTGAGTATTGTTGGTTCCAGAGCATAAGAACTGTCCTTTTGGGCTCTTAGAGGCACTAAGAACCATAAAAATCGGACCTTGATGGTTAAGCCACAACCATGCAAGTGTTATTAGGTCTTAAAGTTTGTTAAAAGGACCAAAATCATGTTTTGACCCCAACCTTGCATGCAAGCACATAAAGTTTGTGACTTTATGGTCTAGGAGGTCTTAAAGGACCTGGATCTGCATTTTGGACGTAAAGACTTAACTGATTAAGTCATGGATGAAGTCCCAAAGAAGCTGGCCAGTACGCTGGGCGTACTCCCTGGTACGCCGCGCGTACTTGGTCAACTCCCCGATCTGGTCAAGGCCAGCGTACGCTGGGCGTACATGCCAAGTACGCCGCGTGTACGCATGCAGAATGAGTGTTTTGGGCTTTGGGGCCTTAAGGAAATGGGCCTGGACTTGTGGGCCCAGTGGCCCATTGGGAAGTATAGTTCTGGACTTCGGAATCTGAATTTAGGGTATTGGGCCTATTGGGCCACAATTGGACCCCTTGGAACCATTATATTAGGACTTGAACATTTGGGCCCATTGGGGGGTTAAGGCCCAATTCAGAAATTGGGCAATTAGTGGGCCCTTAGGGAGCCCTTATTAGGCCATATGAGGGTTGGACTTCATAAGCTAGAATTTGGAACTTATGTATGTTCCAATTGGACCGAGGGGTAAAATGGTCATATTACCCTGAGAAGTGTTGTGGATTCTGATTGAGTATTATTATTATTATTATAACTGGGAGTCATCGGATGTAACGCCCGTGTTTCTAGGCTAGGCATTAATATTGACATAATGGTCTAGGTTAACCTTTGTAACTCATTTAGAAGAAATGAAAAGGAATTATGTGAATATTATGTGTTTTATGTGTTTTCTGCTTAATTACTAGGAGTTAATTAATTAAGAATAAAAATGAGCGTCAAAAATTAAATTTTAGATAAAGCCGATATCTATTAAGAAAACTTGTAGTGGGCGTGACAAGGATTACGGATATATAAAGAATGCCGAAATCCGAGTTATAACGAAGAAGTTATGACCTGTCGAAGTTTCACGATAAACCGGCTCGGTGCTGAATGTCGTAAAAAGTGAGTTTTCGATAAACTACTTTTTAGCCTTAGCGATCTAAACGAAACTCGTAGTGTTCGTTAAACCGAGAGTAGGTATAAAAAGAACACCCAAATCTGACTTCGTATGAGGAACTTATATGATTTTTCGAAGTTCAGCTTAGCAGTAGACAACTAAAAACTCGAATTTTAGATCGAGTGATTTTTAGCCGACACGACCTAAACGAGAATCGAAGGTCTCGTAAATAGTAGCACAACGGTGAAAAGTCTGACGAAAACAGACGTCGGATGAAGAAGTTATTAATTTTTTAACAGATCTTGTCCCGGTCTGTTAAAAAATAATAATATAAAAATTAAGTCAAAATTAGCCGACGAAGTCTAAACAAAAGTTGTAGAGCGTAATTTTACCTACGCGTGCATATAAAGAACGTCAAAAACGGAGCTCGTATGCGAAAGTTATGGATTTTAGAAGTTTTGCACAAAAATCGAGAAAATTCGCATAGTCACGTTTTTGCCACGTCACCCTCGCCCAAAATGTGCCAATTGTCCGAAATGGTCGAGTCATCCGAGCAGCTGGCAGTCGCGTGTCACTTCCGTATTCGACCGAAGTCTCGGCCCTCGCACATCCGACGCGTGTGCAGTGACTCATCGCATCTGAAGCCTTCGCATGAGCCACGAGCCACCCACCTCGGATCCGAAGTTCGGTCCAATCAGAACCCTCCAGCGAGGCCCTCGCATGCGCAACCCACGTGCGAGCAGGTGCTGCCTCCTTCGGATCTGCTGCCGCGTGGCTTCTCTCCTGGCCGTCCGATCAGCAGCTCGCATGCTATAAATAGGAGGGTGCGAACCCTCCCGGCTAGAATTTAGAAATTGGCAATTTTGGCCCCTTTTTCAATATTTTGGCTATTTTCACGTCCCCCGAAGCCCCGGTATCGATTATAACCCCCGGAACACGCCCCGAAGTGCCCGAAGACCCGGAAAATTTATCTTTTCGGTTTCGAAGCCCGACCCTTCGCAGAGCCCGGTTTCTCAATAAAACTCCCGGTTTTATTAGAAACGATCGTTTTAGGAAACGAATTGATGCCCGATTTTCATTAAATCAGGTGAGTGTGTAGTTACTTTCAGCTTACACATAGATATGAAGTATTTTACATAAAATACGTGTTGTGTGAATATATATTGTTTGTTTATTTGAGATGGGTGTTGAAGGAATGATTTATACAGGTTTTTAAATAATTTAAACTGTATATGTATTTTAATCTACGAAAAATGTTTGGTAAAACATGGGTAGATGAAATAGTGGGTGTGATGAAAGGTGAGTTGGATAAAGGAGATGATCAGTAATATTGATCATGAGTTGAGGGTGAGTGGTGAAATTTGAGAGAATCACTTACCCAAAATGTTGGCCCCCGTCATTCAGCAGAGTATGGATGACAACCCTGAACTATTCTAGACAGTCTGTGGAACACTAGCAGGCCCGCAACCTGTAGGTGTAATGAGCTATATGTTCATTCGATGTACTCTAAAAACCCATTGACATGTATTGCAGGGGGGGAATACCTGTAAATAATACTGTCGATAAATGAGAGCTATGAACTTAGCACATGTTGAATAAACCTTGGCAGCTATGGACTTAGTGCCTGTTGTATAAACCCTGGTGATGGTGTGACCTTGTGCCTATTCCTTAGGATGAATCCTTAGGAAGGAGTGATAGTTGATTCTTAGGTTAAATCCTT